GGGGGGGGGGGGGGGGGGGGGGGGGGTGGTCCCCAAGGTTATAACCTCCAGGATCATGGCTGCTGATAAGTGCATAATTTCCCCCCGCCCACTATGCTCAGCAGGCACTTAAGAACACTGTTTGGAGTTCACTTTAAACAGGAATCAAAATGCTGAGACGAACAACAACAACCACAACAACAACAAAAATAAAATGTAAATTAACTCAATTATTAAATTAAATGAATGAGAACTCACTGCTTTCTTCTTTGCCAGATCGGCTCGCAGTTGTTTATTTTTCTCTCTAAGTTTGGCGATGGTTTCTTTATTCTTTTTCATGGTCCATTGAGAACTTTCGAAATAGGCTTTCCTGTCTCCATCTGCAAGGAAAACAACATTATGTACAGGAGTAAAATATTCAGTAAACACAGTATCAAAACCTTCCACGCTTGCAGTGAGGAGGGGAAGAAATAATCGGTTAGGTGTTAAGATCGTACGACGAATACAGCCCATCCGAACTTCAGATAGTTGAACAGGTTGGATATTAGAACTGGCGTCAACCTATTGGAGCTTTGTAACGTCTTCCTAAAATGTGGCCAATAAACTCCTACCTAACAGAGCCATCTTCTTTCGAAGCTCTTCAATTTCTTCTGTAATTGTAACTGCTCCCTCCGACATATTTGTAGCTGTCTTGAGTATTCCACGGAACGATATCGATCAAATGTTCTGAAACAAACCTCAGGAAAAGCGTACTGCTGTTTTCCTACCGTACAATACTTATTCGCCCGTTGTCAAGGAGACAAGTAGAAAACTAAACAGCGCCTGCCCTATATACGAGAAACAGCTGACCTCTAATGCAGTCGCAAGATTTCGTTCAACCAATGAAAAAATAGAATTTTCTGCCCGCCATTTTGCAACCCAAAGTTCTGAGTGTTTTGTTTTTGATATATTTCAATCGAAAAACGAGCCTCTTACCTTTTCTGAAATAGTTGAAATTTCCTCACTTCCACCTCTAGAGGCGGAGAAAGTACTACAGCGTTTAGAAAGCGAGCAAAAGATGTAAGTTGATGTTAAGCTTGAGCTCATATTAATTTTTATTTTTACTAGCTGGGCTCCTTGCTTACGTCCCTATATTAAACTGAGAAACTTTACATATTTCCTAGGCCTGTCTTTTAAACCATCTTATTCTTGCAGTTGTTTGAAAAAAGACTTGGAGGCTACATTATACGTACTAAATGTACCAGATGATAAAATGAAACAAACAGCGAAGCCAAAAACACCGGCAACATTCCGGGTACGACCAGCTTTGGCTGCAAGGTATATTCCGTCAAAGTTTATGTTAAAATTTTAAACCATTAAGCTTAATTTTAATTACTTGTATCGTAGTATTTGTAACACACTCAACAAAACACTGTCCTTTAATTTTCTATTTTGTTTTATCTTGTTTTTTTTTTTAGGAGCAGTTCAAAATTAAGACAACCTTTCAAGTCACCTGTAAGTTTATTTTTCGACCGATTTAAGATTTAGAGCCCTATATAAACACTTTTTTCAGCTCATGCTAAGTTTGAATCTCTCTCACACTCCACAAAGGAGTCTGAAGTTTATAATGACGTAAGTCTGAGGACGAGAGTTCTTTAGACAATTATTTTTTGAAAGGTGCTTACAAAAAATAAAGGTTTCAATTCCAGCCATCTTATGGGGAAGTTAGGGGGGGGGCAGTGCACGTAAAAAATGAATAAGCGACATATTTCACAAAATCGAGTAAACTCACTGGAGGGCAAGTTTAGTGAGATCCTTGATGGAGACAGTAGGGGGTGTTCCTCCACTAAGGACAGCATACAAGTTATTGTTAACCTCTTTACATGTGAGGGGTGGTTGTGTTGAATCTACAAGCTAGAACACCCACCATGGTCATACATATACTGGCACAAATTCAGCTGTTTGAATACTAGTACTTGGTCCAGTTACCATCTGCCCATTTCAGTGTACAAAGAGAGTAAGGTCTGATAAGACCAAGGCTGGTGGACTTTGCTATGAGGCTGGTGAATTCAGTTCTTTACTTGCCCTGCTTATCAAAAATGTTGGGGGGCTAGCTAGTACATGCTAGCTATTGCTGGCCATATGGCAAGCTATTCTTTGCACCCTGTTTTTATAAGTAATGCAGCTGTTGGTCCCAATGTTTGTTTATTCGCTTGTTTGTTTTTTCATTATTTATTTTGCCATGAAGGACCCTCAAACAATTAATATTTTATGACTTAACATACAGACTTTTTACGGCACTGAAGGTACCATGAAGAACTACAGGGGAGCAAAAGGCCAACTCTTAACTTTGTCTGTATTTTTAACATTTCAGCTTCAATCAAAACAGCAAAATATGCTAGCTAAGGAAGAACCAACCTTGTCAGACGACATTCACAGTTTAGAAGCAAAGATAGAAATTCTAGACAGGGAAATCGAAGAACTCAGTCAAGAGTAAGTCAATGATACCCTGAATATGAGAATTTGAGGGGGGGGGGGGGGGAGGGGGGGCTTTTTCAAACTTATATTTGGGGATCAAGGGTAAAAATAACTTTCCTGAAAAATATGTTAAAAGGTACAGTGAGGAAAGACTTTCGCAACCACTTAAAAAAACTCAACAAAAACAAGAAAACAAAGGATGTGGAACACCCCCACTTTGTAAA